ACTAATGTGACATTTAATTCCTGTCATGATGGTGACTCCTTAGTCTCTACAGGTTCTCTCTCATCATGTGTGTCTGCATGTGCCATGCATGGCATAAAATTCAATACATTCTAGTGCACCATGCAAAGGGTAGATATGTAATGATGCTCTGTTAAACAATTTTCTGGGTCTTTAACTCCTGTAGGATCATAGAATAATTTGCATTGAAAGAGGCCTTTAAGGGACATCTAGAGCAACCCCCAGTAGGTGAGGTGATGCAGTGGCATCCAGGTCAAGGAGATCTGAGTGGTTTTTTGGATAAGCCTTTTCATTTGAATGTGTGTTGGAGCCATTTCCAAGAGTCTGTACTAGGATCACAAGGGACACAGCTTTAATAGCAATTGAAAAATCTGCATGGGTTAGGCACAGACTATGTCAGCAAATTCCCCACCCAGAAAAGGGGACACAGCCTAATTCCCTTTGCTCCAGCATAGTCCCTGGCATATGGTTATCTGATCAGTCTGTTCCTGGAGACACACCAGACTGTCTCTGTGCCCTGAATTCAGTGGGTGCCATTTCCCTGATTTTTCTCAAATCTTTTTGTTTTCTCTCCAGCCAGTTAAATGACATTTACCAAGCAGAATCTGTTGCTAGTGAGCAGAATACAAGACATGAGTTACAGACCCAGATCAAAACCTGTGTTTATAGCCACCCAGTTTTCAGGGTATAGTCATCAAAGGGAGGTTTCTATACTGCTATCTCTTACAGAAGCAAACCCTATGTGAATGTACCTAAAAAGGCATCTGCAATAACAGGTAAGAAAGGAGGGTGTATTTGAAGGATTTTGTGAGCTCCCAGAGTTTTTGCCTCAGTCTGTTTGTGTGTATTTGTAGCCTTTGGAAAGGTGGCCTGAGATTACTTTCCAAATTAGGTCTGCCATCTGGGAAATCAGTAAACCTACAAGTACAGCCCTGGGCATGATGAAAAGATGCTCTCCAGAAAATACAGATCCCTTGTGCCTGAGGTGCTAGTGTGTATTGCCTGTCCACACAGGCAGGAGGTGGTTGGTAGGGCAGACACAGTGCTGATGGCTCTCTCATAACTGCTCTGGAATAAGGGAAAGCTGTGGCTTTGGCATCTCAATGTTCCTGTGTCTGCAACCAAGCACTTGGTAAATCACTGTAAAGTCTGTTTACTGAGTCTGAGGTTTAAACCCAGGAATAGGCTGATTTTTTTGTTGGATTTTGTTTTGGTCCTGTGGCAAAGAGACAATATACTATTAAAATTGCATTAGAGAGCCAGACAATGTATTATTTACATTTTTTAAAGGTACACATGAGATTTATAGCATCATTGTTGTCTGGTCTTTCCTTTCTTTTTTTATACATTGTGTAAATTTTTGTAATGATAGCAAACAGACCATTATGTCATTCAATTTTATGCCTGTCAACTAAATAAATTGCAAAACCAAAACAAGCCAACAGGATCATTTGGGGAAAATATTTTTTGTTATTGTTAAATTATTTAACAATTTCTACTTGTTTTCTAAATAGTTTTGAATTAGCTGCTTCTTGGAAGCTCTACCAAACGCCTGGATGGTTTTTTTCCAGAGAGACAATAAAAATAGTGCAGCAGCTTAGCCCAAACTCAGTGCTCTGACCACAAAACTAGTTGGGAGACAAGCACAGATTTTATATTCTGGGCAATTAAAAAAGAATAATATTTTTAAATTGTATTTTTTAAAAAAACTAAAATAGAGTTACTAGGTAGCTCAGTCTTTTAATGGGGAAACTGGCCAAGTTTTGCCTTATTATACTTTGACAGCTTCTGGAGCAGGACTTGATTCCTGGGTATGGCTTGATATCACTATCTACAACATCTTGGGATCAGAGACACTGACAGTGTGATCCAGTGCTGCTGGGGGAAGAATCTCTGCATTAGCCACCCAATAGCCTGGACATACTGATTTCAGCTTTTGAGGTCCTTAGGGTAATAAGGGTCCATCAGGGTTTGGATTTTTCTTTCAGAACCTCTGTAAACGATGAAGTTGAATTAAGAAAAGGAAGTCTGCTTAGCTCCAAAAATTTGGTTTAAATCTGGAAGTTGCAAACATAGATTTCTGTCTTTTGACTCAGGAAATGGGAACAACTAATTAAAAACGCATGAAGATATAATGAACAGGTGACTACTTTTTTGTAGTTGTTTTATAAAGCAGATTTTTGTTGTAAGAGCTAACATCTGAATACCTTGTGCAGCTTGACTCACAAGATTGATGCTGGAAACATTCTCGTTGGTTTTTGTCTGAACTGAGAATGAGAATATCCTGCTGGGTCTCTAAGGGATTATGTATTGAAAATATGGGTTCTTTCTTGCTATTTTGCATTTTGTATCATGAACTTTATGTAGAAAGCAGGAGGGAACAATTTGACAGAGGGGCATAAATCATACTCTGACATTCCTGATGAGCCAACTGTCAGCATCAGGAAGAAGGATATCCTGCAAGTAGGAGCAGAGAAGAACCTGCCACCTTGGTAAAGGAAAACCCAGGGTCAAACTCCAGATGTGAAAAAGTGCAACAACAGAAGGGTACCCAACTTCTCTTTGACCACAGCTCTGGCTCTGCATGCCATGCTGCCTGAAAGTCTTGGGTTTGGATTTGAAGAGAAAAGCATGTTGAAGCAGAAGGCATCACACACAGCAATTTGGTTTATTTCACAGGACAGATGTATTTGATAATGTGTTCTTAGAAGCACATTTTTCCCCTTAGCAATGTGGGGGATGGTTTTCATCCAAGTCTGAAATTACTGTCAGTGCAATAACTTTTTCAGCATCTTCTTGATGGGAGTTAACACTGAGTCTTATTTTTATGGTTATTTGTGAGGTCTGTCAGTAAGCAACCTTCCTCTGCAAGTGAAACTCTCACTTCTCCTTGGCTGCTGTTTTCATTGCTGATATACACATATTTCATAGCTATTGTACTCATTCTTGTTTATAAAAATATATTAGACTTTCTCGAGTTCTGCTGAATTTATTTCATGTAAAATCCATCCTTGGAAGTATTCAAGGCCAGGTTGGATGGGACAATGAACAACCTGATCTAGTGGGTATCATCCCTGCCTATGGCAAAGGAGATGGAACTAGATGATATTTTAAGTCTCCTCCAAATCATTCTACGATTCTATCCCAGGATCCTATAATGCCAAAGCAGCCTCACACACTACTGGATACTAGGCAAGTGATACAGTTTTCTCTTTAAAATGCTGAAAATTAATCTGGAGGAAATTCTGGGCTTGATTTCAATATTTTTATGGTATTTGCACTCTGAATCCAAGTAAAGGGTGACAGCTGGTATGTATCAGGCCTGAAAATCTGTATTTCAGGGTGAAACCAAACTTTAAAAGCACTGGAACCTAGAATCTAAGTTCAATGCCCTTGCCAGCATTGTCTGAATAGACAGCTACTAGCACTCACCACCTATCTGTGCAGCCACATGTTCTACTGGTGATGGGACACAGTCTTCAGAAAACTCTGGGCCATCCTGGACTGAGCAGGCTGGAAAAGCAAAGCTGAATGTGTTCCATCCCTCACAAGACCTGACCTGGTAGACCAGCTTAGACCATACCTCTAACACATTGTCTTCTGCATCTGATAGCCTGTGGAATGCTGTGGACACCTCTTTTCTTGAGAAGCATTTGAAATGGTTGTCCCAAGCATTTTTTAGCTGAAAGCCTTAAGGATTTGAGGATGAAGTAAAAGAGGTTGGCTTTCTCAGCCTGAGGCTTCAAACCCACAATTATCTCCTCCCAGAAAAATGCCCTGCTCACTACATCACATGCTGTGCTGAGTGGCTTGGGATAAACCTGGCATTTTATGTCTCCTACAAAAGCTCTGTCAGCAAGGAATGAAAACTGGCTTTTAAATACCCCAGATCAAGTGCAGCACAAGAAATATGATATCCCCATGGTACAGGCATTTGTGCACTTAGCAGGGGGGAGAAGAACTTCCAGATTTCCAAACCGATCTTTTACTATTTGCTGAATCTTAAAGGCACAAACTGATTTCCAAACTGATCCTTTACTGTTTGCTGAATCTTAAAGGCACAAACTGACCTAAGGACAGGATATGTTCATAATTCCCAGTTCCCAGGCCACCAGCTATATCTCTCATCTTGTCCCATTTACCACATGCTTATCCTTTTATGATGTACCTTATCTACCCCTCCTTGCAATCCCTTGGGACCAATGAATGTGAATCCTCCAGACAATGGTGATCCTTTACTGTTTGCTGAATCTTAAAGGCACAAACTGACCTAAGGACAGGATATGTTCATAATTCCCAGTTCCCAGGCCACCAGCTATATCTCTCATCTTGTCCCATTTACCACATGCTTATCCTTTTATGATGTACCTTATCTACCCCTCCTTGCAATCCCTTGGGACCAATGAATGTGAATCCTCCAGACAATGGCACACTTGGTGTTCCCAGAGGAGAGAGCTGCACAGAGTTTTGAACCAATCTGCTTCAAAGCTCCCAGAGGAGAGAGCTGTGCAGAGTTTTGAACCAATCTGCTTCAAAGCAGAGGGAGAGCACTGTTGTTTCACTTTCTGAACACAAGCAATTTGCCACCAGCTCACTGGCTGCAGCTGTGAGAGGCCACGTCACAGCCCAGGAGTTGGGTTTTGTGTATACTGCAGAGCAGGAAGGGAAATGCCTGAATCATGCAAGGACACCAAGTGTTTACTCAGCAGGATGTATCTGGGCAACCCAAACACTCTGTATGTGTGTTGGTAACGTGCCTGGTAGAGTGGAAAGCAGGCAGAGGACCTTGATCTCCCCAAAACCTCAGAGGCTGCCTGTGGAGCACACAACTAATCATTTTGAACTGTCTCTGTTCAGAGTTCTGGTGGGACATGGATGCAGTCACTTGTATTGGATGTGACTGTCCAGGTCCAAATCCACTCTGGAGGTACCTTACAGAGCATGATCCAAAGTATGAAGGGAAGAAAAACTCAAGATCTCAGGCAGAGAGCTGGTGTCAGTTCCCAGACAGATCTTTGGCTTGGACCAGCTGCAAGTCCTGGAGATGAGCCCGGAACGAGAGAGCTGCCTGAGGTACCGGATGGAGCTACTCCCCCAGGAGATCAGCTGCCTGAGGAACCTCACCTGCCTCTATGTGGACTCCAACAACTTGAAGAAAATCCCTGCTGAAATTGGCACTTTGAGTCACTTGGAGAGGCTTACTCTGAGCAACAACCACCTGAGCTCTCTGCCCACAGAAGTGGGGGCACTGCAAAGGCTGCAGAGTCTCCACCTGGCCAACAACAGCCTCACCGAGCTGCCAGCATCCCTCTGCCAGCTGAGGAGCCTCACTTTTCTGGATGTGAGTGACAACAAAATAGGTACAATCCCCTCCAGCATTCGGCATCTGGAGAAACTGGAAACGTTTTTATTGCTCTTCAACTCACTGGATCACCTGCCCGAGGATATCTGTCTTTTAAGGAATCTGCACACACTTTGGTTGGGAAAAAACCATCTACGGTGCCTTCCAGCAGCCTTTGGGGAGCTAGTGAACCTGGATTGGGGACACAATTACTGTTCATGCAATTTTGAGGGGAATCCACTGGACAGTCCTCCCCCTGAAGTCTGCAGCAGAGGTCCTGAAGTGATCAGAGACTATTTCTTGTCACTTCGTAGGATTCCAAGAGACTAAACCATTGGTGTCAGTAGTCTTGAAGTTGACTGAGATGGATTTACTCTGTGCAAATCATCTGCACAAACAAATGTGTTTCAGACAGGAAGGTCTGGTGAAATCACTCTGTGGAGCTCAAAAGCTTCCTCTCTGCTTTAAGGTGAATTCTCAGGCCATCTTTTTTTGGCACTAGGATTGAATGGTGGTGTATACCTTCAAAAAACTCGTACAGGGACAACTGTAATATTTTTGTTATTTATAGTTGCATAGACTTATCACAGGAAATGTTGCAGCCAAACATCCAGTCTGAGAAAATGAGCAAGTCTGAGATGATAGATTCAGGTAAACAACTGGTGGTATGTAAATAGCAATAATCTGTACTTTGTTTGCTCACAGGGTTGGTGTTTGTGTCTGGACTTGCAGCAAGTGCAAGTTGAGAATTCTGGAAATGTTTAAGGTCATATTGACTTGTGATTTGGCTTTGCTTCAGATAGTCTAGAATCTCATCATTTTTGCTGGTGTTTTACAGGAGCTCAGTCTCCTGTCTGTCTTGGCATAAGAGGCAACCTGGGTCCAGGTCCTACAAGGTATCATGCAAGTGATGTCCCCATTCCTTAGGCAGGTCGTGGTATATTTCTTAGCCTGTTTCTCCTGAAGAGCAGTGTCAGCACAGGGCTGTCACACTCTCTGAAGGTGGCATAGACCTGGATTTGATGAGCCAGTCTGTCCAGAGAAACTTCAGTGATGCAGCTCCATGGAGCTTGGTGATGAACTGGGGTAGCTCAGATTTAGAGTCTGCAACACCAGCAGAGAAAGTTTCCACTTTTAATGAAGCTGGGAAAGTGTTCAGAGATATTAAAATATGAGTATGCAAACTGCCTGCAAGGGAACATTCTGAGAATCCCTGTCTATAATCATAAAAGGCTTCATCAGTGTTACATTATGGAAATTTGCTGAGATTCCTTTCTGTTTCACTTTGCTCTCTTTTCCCCTTATCATCAGCATTTTTCACCCACCTCTTCTTAACTTTGCTCTTTGTGGGTGTTTTCTCTGTGGCTACTCCTTCTGACACCCTTTTCTCCATTATTTTGTCATCAAAAGCCTCTCATTTCCTTATAAATGCTTTTCTTTGCCCTCTGCTTCCTTTGTTTCCTAGTTCTCCTTTGGCCAACATACAGAAAGCTGCAGTTTTGTGTCTATCATGGAAAGAAGAAGGGCTGAGTCAGGCCTGGTGGGAGCTCAACAAGTTCTTACAGGGTTCACAGAGAAAGTGAGAAAGGACTTGAGACATTGAACATGGACCATTAATTCTCTTGTTCAGTCATTTTCTTCTCCTTATAGCAAAGATCAGCACTAAAAGATCTGAATCAATGCTGAAATTTTACTGGGTGACAGAAGCACAATTCCAGATATGCTTAATATGAATTAATTTTAGCATTGCTCTGCCCCTGTGTCTGCCCCTGACCTCTGTGAATCTTTCAAACCAGCTGTCACTTTTTGGTGGCACAGTACATGGCAATCATGGGCATACAATTACATCACACCAGTTCATTTGATTTTCCTGCAGCTGATTATTTCTAAGATGTGTGACATAGGGAAGAAAGGAGTAAAGGGACCATGGTGCCTTGTTGACTTGGCTCTTTCTATGCAGCATGGAGAATTGAAGATGAAGGAGCAGGACCATGAACTGCAAGTTCTTTGCAGTTCAGATTTTTTCAGAGGAGCTTTGGAACTGTGTTTGAAGTAGGTCCTGAAGCTGGTGCCAGGTCAGGCAGAGGCTGTATCAATGAGACAACATTAAATATGTTCAGTGACTGGGGTCTTGTTCCTGTTTCTGTCAATGATCCATTCTCTGGGCTCAAATAGGTCTTATTTCTCCATTGGTTCTGCTGTTTCCTAATTTCTCTCACCCTGTTCAATATATGCAGTCATCCTGCCTTTCTGAAGCTTGCCTAGTGTAAGACATAAGTATAAAGGCAGTGCTAGTGGTGGGGCATAGTAAAGACAAGGTTATCACACTGGTTTTGGACATGAGTGGGAACTAATTTCTAGTAACTGAGACACAAACCTCTAAGAAAGACAAAACACCAAATCCTTCCAGAGCATTGCCTTAGGCTGTTTTTGTTCTGCATTGCATGTTTTGGGCTTGAGGTTCCATTCCAATTTTGGCTACCTTTCCCTTCTGCTTCTTGGCTGGTGAGTGCCAAAAGACAAGCTGACTTTAGCTTGTTTGGGGAGTATATAGTATCTCAAAGCTTTCACTTTTGGTTTTGGCTGATCACGTTTCATACACTTCATTTCACTAATCCTTTTTCTGAAAACCACAAACATAATTTCTGAAGCCTGATTGTATCTGTTAATAATATACCTGTCATTCCTAGGAGCAAATGGGGCTAAAAAAGGGGTTAAAGAATGCAAGAAAATGTAATCTTTAGTAAACACTTCCAATACCTCTGCTATAATTCTTTAGTCTGTTGGGAACAGAGAAATTCTGTGAAATTAATGCAAGTGAGGACACTTTGACCATACCATTAAGCGGTTTGAGCAGATCAAATGTGTTATGTACTGACACAGTGTTCTCTGTCATCTTTTTTTTTTTCCTTTGTCCTGTTGCTTACAAAATCCCACCTCCCAAGTGCATATACACTGCAGTATTCTGGCATTGGTGTTAGTGGCAATAAGGAGATCCTGGTATTGTCATTAAGATGGCATTAAAATCTAATCTCAAACTACTTATCCTGCATTTGTTGTACTGTCTGTATTGTTGCTAAGCATCCTCCTTTGTCTGTGCTCATTAAAACTTCAAGCATTAATATCAGAGAATGGCAAACTGCTAGGATATAGGCCCCTGGAGAAGAGACATGGATATAAACCATACTTGGGGGGTGAGTGGGAGGAGGAAGAGAGGGGAATTGTTAAGGCTGCCATTCAGTATTGGTGGGAGTTGTGCTTCCATTTCCCTTCACCCTGTACTGTACTGCAAACAGCCTGGTGTAGGAGAGCATCATTTCCTGGAATGGCACAGGAATTTAATTTGAAAAGTTTGAACTCTTGCAGCAGAGCAGTAATGAAATGTAAAAGCAGTGAGTGAAAAAAACCCTCCAAATAGAAATTCAAGGAAATAATATATATAAGGGCAGAGGGCTCTTTAATTTAACATACAAATACATAACACTTCACAGGCTGGTAACTCAAGCTGGACAAGTTCTGACTACAGATAAGCTGCATATTTTTAATGCTGGAGAGTTCACCTGAGGATATGGCAGATTCTCCACCACCTGAAATCTGTAAAACCCACAGTCTCACTCATCCAAAGGTATGACTGTAACACTCCACCTTGTTTCATGCAAAGTCAGACTTGAAAAGGCTCCTTCCCTCTTTAAAGTATATGTCTACAATCTATGGCTATCATAAGACCAAAAGATTAGATCCTAGCTCTTACTTATTTCTCCCTCAATTTGCTTTCATGTGAAATTCAGCTTTTTAGTCTTCAATGGCTACAAGCAATGCTTAAAGAGTTGAAGGTCCCCAAGTTTCACTGATCAGAGGGTTTCTTTGGCCAGTGATGGAGTCTCTGAGTTGACAAAATAAAAATGAAGAGGCAGTTGCTGTTCTTCTCATGCCTGTTGGAGTCAGCAGCAGATTGCCAGGCTCACAAATGAAAGACTGGTTCTGAATTCATTTTGAGTGGACTCTAGCACCAACCACTTTTCCAAGTCTTTAAAAAGTCATTTGGTTGATGGAGCAAACCATCATGCAAACATATTGCATATGAGCAGACATATAAGGAATTATAGTGGTTGATGGAGCAAAGCATCACACAAACATTACATATGAGCAGACATATAAGGAATTATAACTTTGTAGACTGCCAGAAAATCACAGACACTGCAAGTATTGTCCTACATAAACTACAAACATATTTGATGTCTGAGAGTGGTAGCTTGTGAACTTGCCATTGTTGGGGATCTGTCCCTAAAGGTTTTCCATGGGTTCTCTAGTCCAGGAGGAAATACATCTGAAAGTCCATCACCACCAAAAATCCACTGTTCTTGCTTGCTGGATGGACCCCAATGCCATATGCCTTTCTGTCTTCCTCTGGGCTCTGTGCCTCATTTCAGAACTTGATGGTCCAACTTTATCAATGACAATTTTCTGGTGATGCAACACAGTGCAAGAGGCTCAGGTCTGATATGAATCCATGGGATCAATAGGTTTAATAATCATTGATTGCATATGATCAGTCACTGTCATAGGCACCAAATACAATGGAACATTTTTACCTACACTTGGGCAATGGTACTGCAGGAGAAAAAAAGTGATGTATCACAGGCAAGTGCCATACCATGCAGTACATTAAATTGCAATGAAAGCCTAAGTAGCATAGCTAATGAAGATCACTCTAAGCTATACATAGAAAAATTTTAACTCCCCAGTGTGTTCTGACCATGAACCAAGAGACTGTGCATGGTACTTAAATAAATACTACATACAAGCCATAGATTTCTTATGTTTGTTAAAAATCTCAGTGGTCATCAAGAAGCTTTTTATTTTTCTGCCACCCTAGGGAAACTATAAAATGTGTTGTCATTCTCACTGCCATGCAAACAACTTTCTTCAAACAGTTCAGGCAGCAAGAGAAGAGCAAGAGGGGGAGAGTCTGATGCCATGAACAAAGCTCAGATGGAATAACCCACACTGAGACTTCGCACTGAAACCCACTGGGTTTTGTCAGACTTCAGATGGAGCCAGTCTGGAGCTCACCACTGCTGAAATCCCCAAAGTGATCCCACGTCCAGTCATTTGGTGCACGAAATTCATGAGGACTTGCATTCAGTAGGATTCAGTGACTCTTACATCAGAGGTATTGATCCAATTGAGGTCAGGCCATTAGCACAAAGTTATGCCTAAAAAGAAACCTTCCAAGTGCTCAGCAGGTCTCACTATTGGAAAGTTCAATCCTATTGAATCCAATTGAACTATTGGAAACCTCTTCTAGTAATGAGAGATGCTTTTTATTT